TTGTTCCAATGCCTGAGACAGTAACTTCTGCAGGAGATATGAACTCAGAGTCCCTGGCTCTGCTACCTGCTCCTTTTCACCGCAGTCTGGCTCCTTTGCATTGTCTTCAAGGGAGGCTGAACCTGGCTCCCAGTGGAATGGGTGGCTGCCTATTCCATCAACTCTATTCTCTTTGGAGCCATGGTACAGATCTAAGATGAATACTAATCCAGGCCTGGCTCCGGCAAGCTAGTTCTGGATTAGCTTTTCTAACACCTTCTGCCAAACCCAAATATATTGCCTCAAGCCTTCTAGTCCCAAAAGGAGGCAGTAGGCCTCCTGTCTCTATCCCTTGGGTAAGCTCTCTGCCAAATCCAGGAAAATCCACAGCTTCAGGTGCATGCAGGCATGTAGCAGCACCAGTGTTGACAGGGCACTGTGGCCAGGTGAGCCCTCTTCCGTATCAGCAGGGCTCATGGTCATACTCTTCACAATCAGGATCGTAGTGACCACCAGGCTGCTGCTGAATGCACAGCAGAAGCAGAGCAACAGCAAAAGGAGCAGAAGAAATTACACGAAGAAGCATCAGAGAGATGCCTGATTCCTGCTACAAAGAAGCACTGTTCTTTCATCTTGATTAAAGATCCTGCTCAGGGTAATCTGGGACTTCACCATCTCCTGAGAGATTCTATGTAATCTGGCTTGACAGCAAAAGGAAGTGAGCACCCTCACACAGGGCCTCACTCCTCAGATGTTTCCCAAGTCAGCTCTGTTTTCTGCCATCTCCCAGTGCATATGCATGGCAAGATCGTGGGTTTAGTCTGCAAAGTGTGAATCATTTGTCAGCTACATCAGGATTTTCCTATCTACTTTTGATCCTCTGAGACTACTCTGTAGGTATAGGGCGCTGTTAACTAAACATGGCCAAAGACTCAGCTTGTAGCTGCAAGACATAAAGCATCTCTAGCTAGAAGTTTAGTTTTGGAATCAGTTGCCAGCAGGGACAAGAGTGAAATGTTCAATCAAGAGGTTGAAACCTGCAGAATGGCAAGATGCTCCCTGTGCATCTTAAAACCTTGCTAACTGATAAATTCTCGCAGCCCTTCACTCCCTTCAATTTCTGGTTCCAAATTCACTGCTCTATTTCTTGTATGAAGGAGAGAAGTGCTTCATCCATAATAAGCAGAGATTTATTGACAGGGCTGGGCTCAAGGTGTGTCGGGATACAGATAACCAGGATAAGCCTGAGCTGCTTTTCCCTATCATCTCTCCTCCCATTTGTCTTGCCTCAGGATCTTCCCTTGGGTGCACTAGACAATATGAGCTTAGTGTTTTCCATGCCATTTGGCATATGGTTCCTTCTTTTTCTCAAGGAGTTTCAGCCTCTAACTTGCTCTTCTCCAGCCTGTCATCTGCTACTATTATCCAGTTATACCCGTAGCACAGCTTAATCATAGTAATATATTATGCCTATGTGTGTGTTTCTCCCCTCCTCTGGGTATTTACAAGATACCTGTGAGTTGAAGTGCAGTCTGGAAGACTGCAACTTGTTGGTAGATCATACAAAAGACTTTGACAGAAAGAAGACATCTTTCCTTTATCCAGCTGGCAGCTTGTGATCTCTCAAAACACGGTTTATTGCTAATTTATTGCTAACAGAAGAAACTAGGGCATTCTAACATACTTAAAAAGGTAAAAATTGCTAGGTCCAAGTATTAGATAGTAAGTGTCTGATCACAAACTGAGTAACAGAAGTTGAGCATTGAGTAACTGGAAGTCTTCAGCCAGTTTAGAGTGGATAAGCTCTGAAAAATACTAATGGAAAGCTTTAAAAAAACCCAACTCCTCCATAGTCTTCACTTGCTAAATTATTATTATTATTGAGCAGAATCATAAAATGTCAATTACTGGTTTACTGTTCAGTAACTTATAGAATTATTTCCATAAATCCTTTGAGCTGCATTGAGATATCTGAAGATGCTGCATACAGAACTATAAAGCCAGAAGTTTAATGTCTTTTCCTCTTAGTAGTAGTAGCAGTATAATATTTTGGGACTTTAAAAAATGTATTTTATCCCTCTATATTCTGGATACCCTGAACAGTTCACACTTCCATAAAGGGAATTTTCAGGAAGATTTTGATTTAAGTCCTTTAGGCCCTGGTTGAAATGAGGGTATAAGCAGGAACCTGTGCTCCAGATTGTCAGCTTTGTTCCTGCTTTTTAAACTAGATTCCATGGGTACTTAAATCTCATTGTTAAAGCTTTGCTTCTTCCCACACATCTACTTTCAAGAAAGTCCTAAATCACCTGTCTTTAAAGGGTGGTGGAGGTTGGCCTCCTCTTTCCAACCTATGTGGAGAAACTCCACATAACCATTGATGAGACGAGTTGCAACCCCTTTCTTCTCCAAGAAGACTTGATCTTTAGGTGGTGTTCTATGGGCATGAAATATTTGAGTGGGGTGCAGAGGCATTTTTTTTTTTCAAATGAAATCCCTTTCATTTGAAACACAAAGGGAAGGTAATCTTTTAATTTAGGTCACTTGTCCAGGATGGGGGGGTGAGGGAGGGGTGGAGTCCAACTTCAGCTCTTGCTTTTCTAGGTGGAATAAGCACTGCTCCGTAGGATAACTCAGAGATATATACGAGTGGAGGAAATTCACCACTACTTGTTTTAACTTCTGTCCTTTTGCACGCTTAGGTGTTTTCCTACTCAGCCTTTTGAATCTTGTAGGTCTGTTTGGAGGTTTATATACATGCAGCATGTGTTGTACGTGGAAAGAATGTCCACCTGAAGGCTTTGGGGGACAGGTGCCTACATCCTGGTGTGAACCTCAACGCACTGTGCTCATCATGTGAATCACAGCCTCAAGCTCTAAAATGAAACATTAGTGGGTGTGTTGTGATTCGAGCATAAACCACCACCATGTCAGGCAAGTTCAGCATACGTGCTTTTGAGTATCAAATCCCAGCAGCACAAACGAAATAGCTTTTGTGAAATTCATTGCTTTCCCTGATCCAAGTTTCCTCCTTAGACTGTTCCCTCTGTCATAAAAACCTTTGCTTCTTGTGCCAATGAGTAAGACTAATCTTCTAAAACCTTTAGCAAACTACCTGCAATGTTACAGCTTTAAAAATAAATAAACAAACTTACTACACAGTTCCCTGGTTTCAAACTTTGCAGATTCAGAGTTCACTAAGAAGTCACTTCACTTTTTCCTTTAAAAGAAGACAACCATATAGAATAATAGAGTTCTCTGTCTAGCATAAAAACCCATCTGGAAAGAATTTAGTCTGCAATAATTGTGGGCATTTGATTTAGCTTTAAATCCCTGTAGGTAATTCAAATGTAAATTTATTGGGGTGAGTTTATCCCCAAACCACCATTGGATCCAATGTTTTAGAGATGAAATTGGCCCACTGCACTAAAACTAGAGCCTGCATTGTTTCTGTTGCATCAGGATATTGTTACGTGCTGTAATGTCTGTCATTACAAGCAGACCTTTACTAGAAATAAAGTCAATAGAGACAATTCAGACAATCAATCAGTTGAATCCCATCTATTTTTCAGACCATTAATGATTAGTAATACTTTGGTTATGAGTATGGTTACAGACTGGTACCTAAATCACTCAGACGACACTGGCTAATTCATTATTTGGTTATTCTGTGCTCATCTGAGAGAGTTTTTTTTGGTGATGGAAAATTCCTTGCGTTTCACATTCTGCTTTAGCAAAGAAGGGAGTTTGAAGGGGCCTTCAGCACATACTGTAAACAATGCCATCTGTCTTTTTCTTTGTAAAATCTTCTTCGAGATAGCCCCGATATGCCCACTGTTTTCAATCACTTAAAAGGCAGTAATCCCATTATCTCATCCTCGATGTAGGATCCGCCATTGCTTTCAGTCCACTTCCAATCCTGACACAAGTAAATCACTTTGATAAGATCCCTTCATTATTTTTTTTTTTCGGAGGAGACCAGCATAAGTAATGATGCCAGTGAGAGACCAAGGACAAAATGACCATAATGGGCTTTCTGTAGGAAAGGAAAACACGTGCCACTGTGATGTATTGTGTTACTTGGAAAATGGTTTTCCTTGGAATTTCTGCAACAGCTACACTCTCCAAGTGAAGGGCAAGTAGGAATGGCCAAATGGTAAAGTCAGACAAAACAGATTTAAACAGCTATTGCTACCTAGATTTCTTAAATGGGAACAGAAGGTCAAAGCCCTTTTGGAATTGTGCCTAGGTCTTATTCTTCTTTGGTATAATGCCACCTACTTACATGGAAATGCACAGGGAACGTGTAAAGTTGGACCTTCCTTACAAACTGCTATGGCTTATCGCGCAGATATGCCTTCCTTCTATTTAAAAATTGTTTGGGTGACTTCAGTGCTGTGTGCCACCAGTGAGGCAGGGGCCTGGAAAGCACATCTAACCTCCCAGAATAGACATGGCAAGAGATCAGTAGTATCTGTGGACTTCCTGTTCTGAACTGGCCTCACTCTGATGCTGAGAGAGTATGGTTAGAGCTGAGCTGTCTCTGGATTCATCTACCTCTTGCCTGATTTCAGATAAATGGGGGAGCACCACATGAGGTGGTCATGTGCGACGTGAAAGCCTGTTTGAAAGCTGCTAGACCACAGGTGTCTCTTTGAACCCAGAATGATCACTCATCACAAATAACCCTAGGTCTTGTTTGTTCAAATCTGTGAAGACTGCTGGTCTTACATCCACTATATGAGGCTGAATACAGGAAATGCAATAGGAAGGTCTCTCAACTTTGCTGAAGAAGCAGGACCACGCAGGTAAGAGGTGATCAGCAATGTTAAAACACCACAAGCCAAGTTTAGCATTTCCAGAGCTAAGAGGTAACCCTTCTGTTAAGTAATTTTGGAGAGTCTGTGTGAGAAAGCTGTGATCTGGGCAGGGAAAAGGCAGTGTGTTCATTGTATTTAACCTAACGAATCAAGAGGCTGTTTTAGGATGTTTTTGATACAATAGGTCGTTTCCTTTCACAGAGAAAGTGTGGAGAGCCTTATCCAAAAGCATTCCTATGCCCGATCCCCCATTCGAACCTATGGAGGAGAGGATGATCTTGGAGATGACAGCCAGGCAACACAAGGCAGAGGTAGGAAAACGTGCTCATGAGGTAAACCATGGTGACCTATTTATGGTTTGGAAAAGTAGGACCACAATCAGTACTGTGGTGCTCTGAAGCATTTCTCTGGTGCGCCTCTCTGCCTTGAAGTCCTATAAAGAGAATACCTGTTACCTCACGGCTTTTCTGGACATTTTATATGCCCATGGTACTAGTGTGGGTGGTTAGCTCAGGAAGCATCTTGAGATGTCTCATACAGTCTTTGCCATCAGAAGAGAACTATCTCTGCTTCCTCTTCAAGAAGGCTGAAAAACAGCCAACATCATTACCATAGTGCTGAAAGCAAGCTAACACTCCCTGTCCCTTGGCAGGACTTACTATCTGGGGCTCAGCACCCTTTGTAAAGTACCATGTAGATACGCCATTTGTTGCCCTCCAGCAACAGAGGACTTAGTTATGACCATCTTCAACCAGCCTGTGGTTAACCTGCTTTGCCTCTACAGGAATAAAAGTCCATAGCTCCCTGGAAAATTGATGTTTCGTTGTTATCTCTTGGTCTCTAAAAGGTGCCCTTCCTGCTGAGGCAATTTAGCACAAATGCTTTATCAAATGGTTTGTCTACTTTAGCAAGACAGTCGCTCTTTGTGGGGATACTTGCTGGACAAATTGCATTTGTCATTATTTGCCACTGGAAATAAATCTCAAACCCATCTTGTGGGATCACCAGCATAAACTTGTGTTGCATTATACTTTGCATGTTGACTTTGTGACCTGCCTGATGTGCAACAGCCACTTGAGGTAAAGCAGTTCTATCTGCCTTCCAACTGGCAGTGCCCTTGTCTTGTCCTCTAACTTCATACAGTGTTGCTAAGATAAGAGCATTATTTCTGGTCATAAGCTCTTTGACTTGTGCAGAGGAAACACTTATTTTTAACCATGAGTTGCTTTTCAACAAGCCGTGATTAGGTGGCCTTGTTCATACACGTCTGTTCTAAGAGCAGTCCCTTACATTGCAGAGTTTCTGGAGCAACTCCTCAGCTGGTATGATGCCATCCTTTCACATCCTCCTGGGGAATTACCTCGTTTCACGTCACCTTTGATCCTAGGCCAGTCATTGTTAAAGACAGTGTTAAATTTTCGCTTTGCCAGAAGTGCTCAGAGCAAGGCACCTTCTCTCCAAGAATTAAGTTTCTCCCTGTTATGATACCCTCCTTTGTAAGTGACAAAGTGAACAAGTTGAACCTCGGTATGAGAGCTTGCCATTAAAGCCTCTCTCTACTGAAGAGAATGTCTAGAAAGGTGTCATAGGAGGAAAGAATAGTTTATAACAGTTGATCTTACAGGGTATGGTTCTGCATTTGCTTGCAATATGGCAAATGAGTAAGTGAGGAAGATGATGAGCTGTGGCAACCCATTTTTTTCTAATCTGGGAGCCATATGCTATCATAGGAAGTGATTGTTCTGGGCAACCAGAGGAATGCACAGAGGGTAAAACATACCGCTCTTGCAGATAAGTAACTGGTACTTACTACCTTCACTCTCTGTTTAGGTCTGGTGTACTTAACTAAGGAAAAGTCCTCCAAGATATAATAGAAATAATGATCTTATAGAAACTCCACAGCCATTTTAATTTCTTCTGTTGCATTTTAAAACTACCCTGCTTGCAAAGTTGAGGGAAGTCCTTTCATATGTATGACAGCCAAATATATACACACTGCTGGGTCCTATGTGTTAGAAGCCCTCTGAGGCCTCAGCAGCCTCAGAATTACTAAAGCACATTTCGTTGGTGCTGGCAAACATGGCATGAGAGACTTTTTGTATTACTAAGCTGCAATTAGAGACCACTGCAGTTGGAGGAAGAAAGGAACTTATGTATGTTCCTCATGCAAATAATACCATAGTTTTGGTCGAAAAGTCATCTTGTCCATCCCTCCTGCAATGAGCAAGGACACCAGGTTGCTCCAAGCACCATCCAACCTGGCCTTGAACACCGCCAGGGATGGGGCAGCCACAGCTTCCCTGGGCAACCTGTGCCAGAGCCTCACCACCCTTATTGCAAATTCTTCCTTATATGTAATCTAAATCTTTCCTCTTTTAGTTTCACACCATTACCCCTTGTCCTTTTGCTACAGGCCGTATTAAAAGTTTGTCCCCATCTTTCTTTATAAGCCTCCTTTAGGCACTGGGAGGTACTCTAAGGTTTCCCTGGAGCCTTCTCTTCTCTAGGCTGAACAAGCCCAGCTCTCTCAGGCTGTTTTATTTCTCTAATCATTTCATGATCACTCACAGAAAGAATCACATACTTTATTCTGTGTGGAACAAAGGAAGTTTACCCCTGCTATTTATTTCTATTTACTTCAGCACCCACCTAGAGCATTCTCAGCTCAGCCAATTTCGGCCATCCAAAGATGGAAATAGCTAGCCTTCAGTAGCGTATTTATCACAGGAAGTCTATTTCCAAAGGAATTAACAGATATGAAATATATAAATCCAATTAAAACTCTTTAATGCATAGTGTCTGGGTGCCTGCACTCCAGCATCCACACACAGGTTTCATAGTAGCCACCAGGAACAGAGCCAAATGTAAACCTTCCAGGCAAATCCTGATTTCCATCCTGCTTCCCCCATAGTGCAATAATGCTGAGATATTCCCTGATTTGCTCTGGTCTGTGAGTACAGTGTTAACCTTATAATTTGGCTCTGGATCCTAACTTCCCAGCATTTTGGATCTGGTTCAGCGGTAGGGACAGGGTTTGGTTCAAGTCTATTTCCACTGCTGAATCAACATAATTGCTCTTTACTGGGCCATTTTATTTGTTTTGTTAAGCAGGGGAGGAATTAATCATGAGTAGCTCTCTTTCTGATTTGAGAATATAACCCTAAAGAAGTTTATGAGTTTAAACAAATCATTTTCCGTTTTTGCTTTTCTGCTGCTGTTTGCTTACAGTTTTGTTTCGAGTATATGGCCACAGTTGGTTCGTATGTGTCATTCCAGTAAGTCTACCTTAACAGATAGCTGTCTGTAATTTTTCTTTTCACAACCTGGATGAACCTATCCTCTAGAACCAGATTTATGAAACTAATACCTGTTGTAAAATGTGTTGTCTCAGAATGTTTTGCAATACAGAATTGAAGTTAAATTTTGCCAAATATCCTTGCCAGTAAATTTATTTCTTACAGTAAGAAACATTTTCTCAATGGACAAAATTGGACAAGAAAGAAAATACAGAAGGGACATGAGCTGAATTATTGTTTGAATAGAAATCAAAAGAGTTTATTTATAGGATTTTATGTATTCCCATTTCTAGAAATCAGGCATCTGATGATGAGCAGATGCATAGAGGAACTGCAGAGGTGAAGGGCAACACTGTCACATTATGATCTAACAACAACCATGTAATTAACCAAACAAATTATTGTTTTCCCCCAAATTTACAGTTAAAAAGTTAATATAAAATAAGTAATTAGTTGTAACCATTTTTCATTTTTAATGATTCTGCAAACTTCAGAGGAAAAGTATTTTCAAGAGATAGAAAATTTGTGAAAATAACTTTTGGAACTTTTCAGATTCAGAAAACACCAAAGAAACACTGCTCCCATTTGATCAAAAGTAATAATTACCCTGAGAGCCAGTTCTTAATATTTTTGTGCATTTCACTGAAACCCCCCATCTCTTACTAGGATTTAGCATTAGTGTTTTTTCCCAGAGCACTGTATTCAGTAGGAAAAATAACAAATGCTTTGACATTTTAGGGCTTTTGTTTTCTGTATTTTGGAAAAGTCAGGTTGAGTGAAAAGATGCTGTACGGACAGGTTCCACTGGGATAAAATAAAAGGGAGGGGGAAACTTGTAGTGCAAATTGCATTCTTCTGCATTTTTTTGCCAAACTAAAATTTGAGGAGAAAGCCCTAAACAGTTCTATTGAGTATGTGATGTAAAAAGCTAAAGCATGTCTTCAAAACAGGGTTGTAATGCAGTGAGATTCCACATCAGAGTGGCTGCTTCAGTGTGTAGAGTCAGCATTACAAGGTTCTTCAGTGTTTAATACCAAAGATGTCCAATTGCAAAACTGATTTTACTGCTCAAGCCAGTGAAACCAACTTCTTAAAATGGAAATCTGAATATGTGATAAAGAACAACAAATGGCAAATAATAATATAAAGAAATACAAAAGGAGAGAGAAGTACTTCCCATGACAACTTGTCATTAAAATCTGCCTTGCTGTGAAAGGCTCTTTTTCTCCCTTTTTGCTATGTTATCAGCTTTGCGTGTTGCCTGAAGAATGAAGCCTCAGGCATTATTTCTCTTTGCTTGCAGGGTCAGCATTTACAACATCTGACAACCTGTCCCTCAGTTCCTGGGTATCCTCCTCAACCAGTTTCCCTGGATTTCAGCATCCACAGTCTTTGAGTGCCCTGGGTACCAGCACTGCATCCATAGCTACACCCATTCCTCATCCAATCCAAGGATCTCTGCCTCCATACAGCCGCCTGGGAATGCCTCTCACACCCTCTGCTATAGCCAGCTCTATGCAAGGTAGTGGCCCCACTTTCCCTTCCTTCCATATGCCCAGGTACCATCATTATTTCCAGCAGGGTCCTTATGCAGCTATCCAGGGACTGCGCCACTCCTCTGCAGTGATGACGCCGTTTGTATGAGTGATGTAAGACACGAAGAATGTGAGATTTTCAATGTGCAAGCTTGGTATGAAAAGATATGAGGGACCTTCCTGTGGCAGGAGTGCTGAACTCATCACAAACCAGCTAAGAAACATGCATTATGGATATAGATTCCTCCATTAGGGATCACGAGAAGAGAGCATGCAGCTTAGACCTGCTCCCAGATCTTATGGTGTAACACAGCCGACATGGATCCCAAAGTTCCCAGGATGTTCCGCCACGTGCCGCTCGTTCCAAAGGTGCATTATACCCAGCGGAAAGAGATGACGCTTATGCAGCAGTGTACAAATTAATTGTGTATAAAGCTTTTTCTTTTCATATACTAGATAAGTTCTGGATCAGGCAATGCTCTTACTCATCTTCATCTCTTCTTGTGACTGACGAGCGTCTAGGCAGAAAAACGTATTGCTGTAACTGTGAGCATGTTTTAGCTATCTCAGCACACGTCTGCTGGGAAGGGGACAAAGTGGAGAAGACCACTGTCCTTTTTAAAAGACTGGCTTATATTCACCAAAAGCAGTATTTCTTAGTTGCTACTATAATCCCAAAGAGAAATTTTTTAATGAGTCTTTCTTTATTTGCTTCTTTCACAAAACACTTATCAGTTCAAAAAAGAAAAGAGAGAAAAAAAAAAGAACTGTGTTACAGGGCTGTAGCAGTAATGATGTATTCTGTCCTTCAGTCTAAACAGGAGTTTGACCTCTATCCTAGGAGGAGCAATGTAACTATCTATTAAGGTATGATGAAGGAAAACGTTGATTTGGGAAAACCTGTTACTTAGAAACCTAAGATACCAAGTCTTTTAAACAATGCTTGTTTGCTGCTGTGCTTGCCACTGAAGACCTGTTTCTAACAGCAAATGCGTATCAAGGTAACCAAATTTCAGGCTAGAACAGCCTATAAGTCAAATTATAATCAATGGACTGAAATAAGATGAGTGGCATTGCAGTATCCTTCTGCAATTTGTTCTGATTTTCTTAGGTTTGGTCATGGCTGACACTATACTCTTTGGCCAGGAAAATGAGGGCTGTACTGTCTGGCTTTCCATGTCCTGGTAGAATGGTGGAGTTTCCTTGGGAAAATATCAGTGCAGAGCTTCACATGTAACTTTGATTAATATCTGCCTTTTTTCAGTTAGTAATTAGGGTTCTCATTCATTCCTGTCCACTTTTCCTAGTATGTTATGTCTGATGCAACAGAAGAACTGTAGAGGTGTAATTAAAAATGACACCTCTGCAGTGAGCTGGCATGAATCCTTTGCACTGCTGAAAAGAGTACCAGTGCAATGCTGGTTTCTATGTGTTAGGAGCTGGGATTTCATCATATGTAAGTCAACAGAGTTTATGTCTAGAGTTGTGTCCAAGTTACAGGCAGTAACACATCTACTGATAAAAAAGAACTAGCAATCCAATCTCATATATTAAAGATCTATGTAGAACGAGAACACAGAATGGAAACCAGGTTTTTCTAGCACTATTCTCCTCTACTTTTGACCAGTGAGTGTTGGAATCATATGGTAAGAAGCAGAGTGGAGTATACTGAGTCACCTGCCTCCCATCTCTGTAAAGTGCAAGGCAAATCACATGCCTTTTTTGCTCCTATTGCCTCGTCTTAGCTGCCCCATCACACAGACCAATGACAATGTCAGTCTTTCCCCACATTCCACTGTAGGCCAGTATTTGCATCCCACAAGTAAGAGCCGTCTTTATGATTTTCCTAGTAGCAGTGTCATCCTCATTTCCCTTTGCTCTCTGTTGGACCTGCTGTTAAAAACTGACCTGAGGCAATCTGCAACTTCTGGTCTCTGTATGTGAAAGAAAATGAACATTTAGTTACAGTTTCTGGGTTCAGAGCTACCACAAAGAGTTCCACAAATGATTATAATAGCCCCAGCCTTGAAATCAGACACTGAATTTGGCTAGATGCATCTAAATACTAGATTTTGCTCTAGGCTATCAGTTTCACCTGAAAAGTGCATGTTGCAAGGTTGTGTCTACTGATGACTCATGTTGGTATAAACCCCATATTTTTTCAGGAAATTGGATGATACTGGCCACAGAAACAGGAATTTCAGGGAAGGAGATATGGAAGCAAATTTTAATCCCTCTCCTTCAGTTGCTTGACTTCTGTTAGAGTTGTATTAAGGCCTTCTGATGACATGCACTGAAGCATGTAGGGAAATTCTATTTGTTTTATCTGTTTCCTTCTGCAGCTTCATTAACTTATCTGAAGTTGCAGGGGATATGGTTAGGTTCAGAATTCAGGGTTGAGGTTGACGGGATTAAGTTCACAGAGACCACAGGAGGCCAATGAAGAGGTCTTGCCACCTCGCAAGGTTTCTTCTCCCTGTCCGTCTCACCTTCCAGTGGGCAGTATGTGAGTGATTCCAGAGTTACAGTTCCTGCCCACTGAAGTCAGCTTGATTGTAACAAAGATGGGATTTCATTCAACATTCTCACCTAAAAATAAAGTGTAACTGGAAGAACAATGAACTGCAGCGACAGCAACAAACAGGAACTCTACAAAAAACCAAGACTAAACCCCAGCTACAAATCAGCTTTATCATTGATTTCACAATTGGAATTAAATGAATATAAATTCATAATTAATCAGTTAAGGAGTAAAACTTCTTTTCCAAAAAACACCCCAAAACCAAACCATCTGTATGACTTTGATGACAACTCAGTAATTTATTTAAGGAGTTGCTGTACTGCCGTCAAAATTTCATTGCTTTCAGGACAGAACATCTGTTGCTAGTAGATGGTCTGGGAATGCCAAATAATAATCTAGAGTTCATTTTCCAATATAATTCACATTTTATATCCCATAAGAAGTGCTCTTCACCTTTATGAGCTCTCTTGGCTGAGCAAACTGGTGCTGGTTTATGTTGTGGGGATTTTTTCAAGCAGGGTGGAGAGAACATGCCTGAATATGCTTTGCAAGGAGAATGGTAAGATTATCCTCCAAAGTGTTACAAGTACTTTTGGGTGTTTTCTGGATTACTCTTTTATCCATACATAGTCAACAGCCTCAGGTCTTTAATCCAACAAAAGCATCCCAAAGACTAACAAGCTGACTTAGATGCATTTGTCTGAGTTTTTTTTTCTTCTACTTTCGGAGCACTGATTGAAGGTAGACATACCCACACCCCCCCCCCATTTTAAATTTGGTTTGCACTATTGCTTTGTATGGCCTGAGGCACTGTCAAAGAGAGAAATTCAGTGCAACTGTGTTTCAGCGGTAATCTTCTAGGTATAAACTGACAAACAAGCATAGCCTAAGTGGATAAAGGCACAGAGTTTCTAATGGAAATGCTTCTTCATGAGTTCAAAGATGGTAAGTTGTATAACACCTAACATCCTTGGTAGCACAATCTACAAAATACAATTGCAGATCTTCTCCCAGAATGCTTTATCCCTGGAGACCAGGACACTGCATGAGTGTATACACATAAGAAGATGTTGCTGTTTCCAGCACCCAGCAAACACTTAACCAGCATTTGAAAATTAACCTCTTCTAAACTGAAAACATTTGGGCTGGCAACTCTATGGACTGCATCCTCTTCATGTGCATGTACTATAGGGAAAGAGACATACCAATGAAAATTACTGCAAAAACTTGGGGAGCTTTCCAAAACTGTAAGTTAATATAAATTGTGACAATTTATCCCTACATAAGGGGTAAAACCAACAGAGAGATTAGTGTATGCTTAGGGATCCTTGTCTGGGAGGGAGTTGTGGCCACAGTGCTTCTATTCGTCATCTGCAGAGGGATGACATTCACTCACTGCAAGATCAGCTTTGGGTTTAGTGAGATCTTATTCTCACTATTCCTTACAGAGCATTTTCTGCTGCAGGAGATGTGGTTTCTTTACTAAACACTTGCTGGCCAGAGGATTTATGTATTACTCTGTAATAAACTGTCCTTGCATATAATCTCTAGTTTATTAAATGACAACTTCTTTTTATTTTATCTTTTTAAAAGAAAACTAAGCAGTAATTTAAGTAAACTCTGAAGTAACCTTTTATAATAGTTTAAGGACAGAAAATACAGTTTGCTGTATTTTACCTTCAGCACATTTAAACAATCTTTTCTTTCCTTTTTTTTTTTGTTTTCTATTTGTACCTTCAGAAACATGAGGAAAGATTCGGTTTAAAAATAAGGAAGGTAAAAAACTGGATGTAATCTCTTTAACAGAATGTACCACAGTTCTGCTGTTTGCTGTGTTGACTTTGTTGTTTATAATGCATCGCGTGAGCACATTCACCATGTACCGAAGTGTGTGTTTGTGTGTATGGGGTTGTGGGTAGGGGGAAATCTTTTTATGGAAAAAGAAGTTGTGAACATAAACTATGAAGTAACATCTAATGAAAAGTTTCTTTTTAAGTGCAATATATTTATTTCTGCTAGAAATATAATATCAACATTATGTAATATTTGAAGCATTAAATGTTATTTGTAAACAGCTTAAAATTATATATATATATCACAAAAAATTGTACAGAAGTGCAAATGTGTGGATATTCAGTTTCTTTCATTAAAATATTGGGTGTTTTGATATACCATTCTTATTTAGCCAAATCTTTCTGCTTTTGTTGTTTTTCCTCTAATCCAGTCACTAAGCAAGTGCAGTGGGAAAAGTGATGGATTTTCCTTACAGCACACAGAATGGGGTAGGGCTGCTCAGATGTAAAAGGTGGTTTAAATTGTGGATCCCAGGATCCCCAAGATAATAAAGAGAGCTGCATCCCTGGGAGTGTGAGCAGCAGGTCAAGGGAGGGGATTCTCCCCCTCTGCTGCGCTCTGGTGAGACCCCCTTGCAGTCCTGACTCACCTTTGGGGCAACAGCACACGAGGTATTGTGGAGCTGTTGGAGCGAGTCCAGAGGTGGCCACGGAGATGCTCAGAGTTCTGGAGCAGCTCTGCTCTGGAGCCAGGCTGACAGAGTAAGGCTGGTTCAGCCTGGAGAAAAAAAAGCTCCTTGAGGGGAGACCTTAGGGCAGCTCCAGTGCCTAAAGGGGCTGCAAGAAACCTGGAGAGGGGCTTTGGACAAGGGCCTGTAGGGACAGGACAAGGGGAATGGCTTTAACCTGACAGAACGTAGATTGAGATGAGGTTTTAGGCAGACATTCTTCCCTGTGAGGGTGCTGAGGTGCTGGCACAGGGTGCCCAGAGAAGCTGTGGCTGCCCCATCCCTGGCAATGTTCAAGGCCAGGTTGGACACAGGGGCTTGGAGCAAGCTGCTCTAGTGGAAGGTGTCCCTGTCTGTGGCAGGGGTTGGAACTGGATGAGCTTTAAGGTCCCTTCCAGCCCAAACCAGTCTGGGATTCTATGAAAGCAGGAAGGAATTAGGTCTGTTTAGGCTGGAGAAGTGAAAATTATGGGCAGATACAATAAAGTATCAATGTAAAGAAGCAAGGAGTAAATTATTCTCTGTATCTGCTGCAGGTTTTTGTTTAATAGTATTTTATTTCTATTTAATAGCAAGGGAAGGGAGAGTTACCTATGACATCCAAGATATTCAAAGAGGGATAGTGAAGCACAAGGCTGGATTGCCTAAAGAAGATAAGGAGCAATGTCTGTTACTGGAAGTCTTTTAGAACAGGTTGAACATGCATTAGTCAAGAATTACGTGATTACAGCTAATCTTGCCTTGGGACAACCAAATGATCTCCTGAGGTGCTTCCAAGCTTTCTATGAGACCCATCCCTTAAAGCAGCTTCTGACAAAATCCTCATGCTCCCAAAGTTCTTGTTACACAGCTGCAGTTCAGCTTGTCCTCAAATTGAGATCAGCTGCTGGGTCTTTTGCAGCTAGTTCACTAGAGTCCCTGGCTTACAAAGAAACCCAGGGTGATAGAAGAGCTGTAATGTCTTTGTGAACAGCAGGAGTACTGTCTTAATTTGGTTTTATCTGTGTATGTGAGCAAGGAAGGAACAGCCTGAGGTAATGCAAATCTGCTTTTAACTATGCTGAGTTGCAAAAATGTGTTAATGTACCTCTTTTACATTTGGAATATATGAAAATGAGGACAGATCACTGAACTGGTAAGTGTATATGATGCCTTTTGTCTCTCTATTACATTTTTATATCATCTTGGTAGCAAAAACAGTGTATTCTCTCATGGATATTCAGTGCTGTGAAAGTCGTTTGCCTTATCTCAGGCTAGGGGGCTTTCTTGATTACATGTAAAGCTATACGTGTGCATTGGCACTTTCCTGAATCAGAAATGTTGGCTGTATGGTGGTTTGAGATACAGTTATGCCAATGGTCTCATTGAAATCAGTAGGCTTGCCTGCTTGAAGTTAAATCAGTGCTTAAGTATTTCAGTGGCTCTGCAACTGTAAAACACCTAGTGCTTTGTTCAGTCAAGACCTTTGGGAACAAGCTGCCTGTGCACCAAACACCTGCATAATTGGAGCCTTTATTTGCTATTGTCCCAGTGAAGAATCTCAACTGCTTTCCAATAGTGTTACTTTGAAGAGATGGATGAGCAGCTATGATGACTGTAGGCTGCCTTGTGTTTCACATTTAGAAAACAGATTTATGTCCAAATTACCTATGATGGAGATGAGCAGTACAGCAGACAAATTATTTGGAGGGTGTTATTTTCTAAGCCTCCTGTGTAGATGCACAATGAATGCACTGACTTAATGGTATGCAAGAAATACAGAGCAATAAATGGTATTTTGAATCATGAGTGAAAAGACCTTTTCAAATACACAGAAGATACTTAGACTATACACCATCAGTTCAGCATATATAAACTAACAATAATCAGTGATGGTAATTCTAAGAATAAAGAATTAAAAGTGGTCTGATGCCCAAGATCCTTATTAGTCATTGATATCACGGTTGGTCAATGAGGCTCTAGGGACTTCTGTGGGAACTACAGAAGCTGGTCCTTGCTCTCCATAGTCATAATAACAAAACCTACGGGAATGCCTACCTCAGAAGTTTGCAAGAGAGGTTTCATAGAACAGTAGGATGACAATTTCTCCCAGTGCAGAGAGTATTAGACAGCTCACTACGGCAGCATTTTTAGCTCT